TGCGCTCCATGGAACTAAGGCGCAACAACGATCGAGTGCGCACATTGGCCGATCACATACGGCTATGGAAGAAAAACAGGTCAGGGCTTCCTGCTCATCAAGCCGCCCCCTCAAGAGACGAAGGCATGAGGATCCAGACCCCGATGAACATGGTCTAGGTCCTCATAAGGGGGAGAATCAGGCCACAACTTCACAACCAATGGAATCCGCTACACCTTCAACATCCCACCAACAAACACAAAACCCACCATCATCACCAAACCAAGGAACCCAAGCAAGGGAACCAGAGGCTCAGCCCTCTGAAGATGTACATAATGTACATGTTCCCCTTGCTACCACACCTGAACCCATCATGTTGAGTTCCTCAACCGATGAAAATCCATCAACCCCACTAACAGAAACCAACCCACCTTTCACTACATCACCAACAACAAGCCTACCACTAACCTCATCACCAACTCCTCGCACCATAGAACCCTTCATCACCCTACCCAATGAACCCGAACAAATAAACATCTAACCCTCTTCACCTCAACAACCTCAAGCCTAAACACAACCCGATGAACCTGAATCACCCTAACATGAGCCAACCCAAGAAACCAATCCATCGCCAACCGATACACAACCCACAACCCAAACTCACCCCTCAATCGATACATAACCCATAACCAAACTCAACCCCAATCTGAACCATCCCAGGTGCAAACGGACATTCCTTCTTCATCAAGGTACCCTCCGCAGAGCTTAGTCAACGAAATTATTGAAAACATGGAGTCGCTAAGGAGACGTCCGGAGATACCACCAAGGGAACCCATTATGATGGAGAATATCCATCTGTATCTACACCACGATCGCGATGAAAGTTTGACTCTCAATCCTCCAATTCTATCGTCAGAGTCCATGGACCTCCTATACCATAGGTTTGTTAGACAGACTACCCAACCACCACAGGCTGTCTTTTCAAACGATGGGATAAGGATGGTTATGGACATAAAGATGAGGACCTTCGCTAACAGAGCTATAAAGTATATCGATCACACAGTGGAGAGAACCCATGGTCAGGTTAGCATCTTCAATGACAATGACTTGATCAATCTCAATCCCTATGACTTGATCGACCTCTACACATTCACTACTCAGCGACAGGATCAAGGCATAAGATTTGGGATGAAAAACAGAGCAATTGTGAAGACGATAGAGACCCTGGTGAAGCATCAAGCCAAGAGTGATTTTCAGATTGCTCTTCATTTAGGCATCAAAAGACTCTCCTGCACTCCACCTGATGAAGACTTTCCTGGCCTGCAGGAGAAGAGATATGC